CTTCTTTTTTTTTCAGGAGGGTTTTGGCTATTTGGTGTTTTGGTGGCTCCATATGAGTTTCATCAATATTTTTTCTATTTCTTTGAAGAATGACATTGAAATTTTAATTGGACTAGTATTGAATCTGTAAATTGCTTTTGGTAGGATGGCCATTTTGATAATGTTAATTCTTCCGATCCATGAGCAGGGGATGTCTTTCCATTTCTTTGTGTCTTCTTCTATTTCTTTTAACAGTGTTTTATTGTTTTCTTTGTATAGGTCCTTTACTTCTTTTGTTAGGTTTATTCCCAAGTATTTGATTTTTTTTTGTTTCAATAATAAAAGGAATGGCTTTCTTGATTTCTTCTTCTTCAGGTTTATTGTTTGTGTATAGGAAGGCTACTGATTTTTGTTCGTTGATTTTGTATTCTGCTACTTTACTAAAATGACTGATAAGTTTAATTAGTTTTTCTGGGGATTTTTTTGGGTTCTCTATATATATTATCATATCATCCACAAATAGTGATAGTTTGACTTCTTCCTTGCCTATTTGGATTCCTTGTATGTCTTTCTCTTGTCTGATTGCTCTGGCTAGGACTTCCAGTATTGTGTTGAAAATCAGTGGTGAGAATCACTCATTCTTTTGAATCTTCTGATCCCAGAATTTATGTTAGAACTTCCTTCTAATTACACATCCCCCAAGTAGCTGTTTCTACCTTTTCATAACTGTAGAGCATGCAGCTACTTATTTAATGAATGTCTCCCAACTCCATGAGAGCAGCGATCATGGCTGTCTTATCTCCCCCGACGCCCACTCCAGTTATGTTATATGCTCAGCTCCTTAGGGCTTGGACACTGAGGAGGGAAGTGTTTTCTTTCTGGACCCCTTTTAACAGTAGTGTGGGGAAAGGAAATAAAACTGGCTAAGACCCACCAAACGTGCCCCTATCCTCTGAACACACACCAGGGTGTGCTTTGATGCCAGCTTCTCCTTTCAGGATCCCTCGTCCCTCCACAAAGCTGCAATTAAGATAGAATAATGCACTCCATCTAGACTCGTGTCTGCAATTTGCACTGTGTCAGTCTCTATTTTATTCTAACAAGGAACAGTGGATTTGGACACATTATCTTAAATCCCCACACAATGCATATCTCTTGATTTACCCTAAGAATATATTCCATATGTGTGGAAAAAAGATTTGCTCATATGTAAGTCATGCTTGCATAGCCACTAATGCACGAAAGCCACATCCTTATAGTTTTATCACCTCCCCACCTTAAAATGTCTCCCCCCAAATCTCCTGTGTGTGAAATTATTCAAAAGGGCCCCAAACTGAGAGGTTGCACCTGCTTTAGTTTATGGGAAAATGTTCACCTCTTCCATCTCTGGGTTGAAGTAGAAGAATGACTACATTAATCCATCAAAATCTCAAATTAGATTGATTTTGTCTGTAATGTTCACCAGGACTATTTTGAAACCCCTTGAGATCAAAGAGAGAGCAACCTAAACCATCTTCCCTCAGTATTAGAGAAGTAGAGTAATAACTCTGACAAATCTGATTACGTAACAGGTTGATTTGGTAAATGCTTGAATTGTGTATACCTTGACTGATAAATTATAGTGGGGAGAACTGGAAAGGGACCAATGTGTTCAAAAGAGGAACCAGAGCCTCCCCGGTGGCGCAGCGCTTGAGCGCTGGGTTGCAAAGCTGCCCGCGCGGCCTCTGCAGCACCGGTTCAATCCCCGGCTGCTCCCCGGCCACCGGAGGAGGGTCCCACATGGCTGCAGACCTCTCCTGCCGCCCGCTGCTCCCCTCAGCAGTGTGCTTCCGTCCTTCTGCCTGCTCTGCTCCCCGCTCTGGCTCTGGTGAATTCTCTCACCCTCCCACGCTTCTGACTGCACCCAGTGCATGTATAAACAAACAAACAAACAAATAAATAAATAATACATGCCTCTTTGGAAAAAAAAAAAAGAGGAACCAGCCCCTAAGGGGCAATCACTTCGGGGGAAAAAAACCAGTGCTTTTTGAGATAAATCTAACAAGTAGTTGATCACGATTCCAAGCCTGTAGTCAAGGGAGTAGGTCAACATGTGGTGACATTCAGTTGCCTTCCCAGGGGCCCTGGCAATCCCCTTGTGCTTGAGGGAAGGTCACCAAACAACAAGAAGGGACAATTGATTTCTTTGAGCATCAAGGATTTTAGAGCTGACACCTGAGCCCTTGAACAAGCTGGGAAAACTGAGAAATCAGTCTGGAGCTAGTATAAATAGACCTCCACACTGAGCCAGGTGGAAAGGTTTCAGGATCTAGAGCTGCAGTGACATTGGGTTAAATCCTCAAATCATCACCTACTAACTCTGCTCTTGAACAAGTTAATTGGAGCTTTCTGAATTACAGTTTTCTCATCAAATCAAGAGTAACAACCTTTTGCTACGAGGTACCAGATATTAAATATTTTCAGTTTTGCAGGCAATATGACCTTGATAACAGGGACTCAATTCAGCCTTTGTAGAGAAAAATCAGTCATGTACACTATGTAAAGGAAAAAGCATAGCTGTGTTCCAATAAAACTTGATTTATAAAAACAGGCAGCAGGACAGATTTGGTCCATAGACCATAGATTGTTGATCCCTGTATAAAAAGATAAAACTTCCAAACTTCCTTATTTCAAGATTGCTTCAAATAGTAACCATACTATTTACAATAATCTTTGATATAAAATAAACCCTTAATATAGAGCAACTATACTTATTGGAAAACCTTTGCCAGGGTAACTGAGTTTCAAGAGGGATTAAGGAAATAATGAGGGCCTCCCTGGTGGTGCAAGGGGTTAAGACACAACCTAGAAGAAATCCACAGCCTCTGTAGCATGAGTTCTATCCCCGGCCAGGGAGAAAACCAATGGCACAGCAGACCTCGCCTATCTTGCCCACTGCTCCCCTCAGTTGTGTATTTCAGTCAATCTATCTGTTCCATTCCCCACTCTATCTCTGGTGAATCCTCTCAGCCCCCACACATCTGGCCTGTACCCCAGTTCTTGTATGCATAAATAAATAAATATTTAAAAAAATAAGGAAATAATGAAACAATTTTAGATAAAGAACAGTAGAGCAATTTGTCTTACTAGAAGGAGCATGAGTTACAAGCTGATGGCGCAAATATTTAACACGCAACCTATGAAGCTAGCCACAGCCACTGCAGCATGAGTTCGATCCCTGGCCAGGTTGCTACCCACATGGCACAGCAGATCTCTCCTGACTCACCCGCTTCTCCCCTCAGTATTGTATTTCAGTAGATCTGCCTGTTCTGTTCCCCACTCTTTCTGGTGAATCCTTTCACTGCCCCCTCCATCTGGCCTATACCCCAGTTCTTGTATGCATAAATAAATAAATTTTTTTTAAAAATTAAATAAGTAAACAAATAAAATGCAAAAAGCTTTTTTTAAAAAAGAAAAACCAAGCAGGAAATGAGAGAGAGTCTAGATTACTAGGTCAATCCACAAGGTCAATTACCCACAGTATCTGGGACCCAGAGTGGTTTTAAATTCTTTTAAAATCAGAAGAAAATAAATTAAATAATAATGATGAATATATAATCATGAATCTCTTTGGAATTATATTCATTTTCATACCGACATATTCATAGAATATAATTTTTAGTATTTTTTATGGAGGAAAGACAACCTGATGCAGAAGCACATAAAGTCTATAGCCCTGCAGACAAGTTGTCAAAATGCAACTGTCAGGAGCCTCCAACTTGACTCCTTCCCTAGATTTTTAAAGATAAATCTGGTTTTCATGATGGAATTAATTTCCATGATAAAATAAATAAAAATTTTCTTCAGAAATTTCAGTTTGACACATTATGTTAAAAAGTAGAGGGAAAATAACTTTGGGTTCTGTAAATTCATGGTGAAACTTTTAAGGAAAAGATATGGCTTCCGGTTTTAGTTTTGCTACTATTTCTGATGCTTGACAAGTTCTTTCAGTCTGTTAGTTAGTTGTCTCATCTGAAAATAGGCCTGGCAAGGGCTCACCCCGTGCTTACTGATATGGACTGGGCCTCTTATTGGCAACAATTTGAAAAAAATCTTTTAACCTCAGTGTGGTTTAAAATATTTTAAAAATCCTTCTTGCAAGCATTAAGAGTTAAAAAGGATCACAGTAGGTGATTTTAAGTTGTTGGTCTTTACCTAAAGGCCTCTAGCACTCACTGCTATTCCAATCTTCTGACTCATCCCCACACCTGGTCACTGGAAATACTCAGTCAACCACTTCTGAAAATTTTTCAGTCCCATTCTTAACTGGTTTTCACACAAAGTCCTATTACCAGTGATAGTTGGTTGTAGGTTGTTTTATGAGGTGAATTAAGATTGTGATGAAACCAAAATATCTTGGGGGAGTAAAGTTCTACTGTGATTCTTGATAATTTGGGCTAAGCACCAGGGTTAGCCAGGGCATGTGATGATTTTCAGTCACTCACACTTTTTTTTCCACTCTAAGAAGGATATTGGAACTCAAGTGAATGACACTGGGAATGACCTTGAACCACTCTATTCTATTATAAAATTGAAAGATAAATCTTCAAACTGCTAAGCTATAGCTATCATTAGGAACTCCTATCTCACCTCCCAATCTCTGACCACTGCCTCCAGGTCAAAGAAGCTGCTACCTTCATCTGCATTAAATCAGCTCTCCCAAGAGAAATCAGACTCTTAAGTAGGGATCCCCACTTGCTTGACACAGAAACTTGTCAAGGGTGGAGGTGGGCCTTATGGTCTCCCTCAGTACTTGATCCTCTCAGTCAGAGGTCTCTGGGAAAGGGGTGGGCTCCCCTACAGTCACCTCTTTCAGACAGAGTCCTGACCTCAATGATTTTGTGTAAGTCTCCAAAGGCTCTACCAGGAACATGTTTGGTTTGACTAGAGGGTTTCATAGGAGCTTCCAGGAAACAAGGGGGTAAATAATTGGTGATAAAAGCAGGGATTTGAGTTTATTCTCTGTTTCTCTATGTCTGCAGAGTCGGCAGCCTCTGAAGCCCCGATGGAGCTGATTGGTGCCTTTGGTGGGTCTATGACTTTCCCTCTGAATGACTTACCAGAGCAGATTGACACCATTGTCTGGTCCTTTAACTCAAACACCCTCCTCACCATACAGCCTCAAAAGCCAAATGAGACTATCATAGAGACCCAAAGTTGTAACACAAGAAGAGTGCACTTCTTACCTGGAAACTACTCCCTGGAGCTCAACAAACTGATGAAGAACAACTCGGGTCTCTATCACGTGAGGATATACAGCTCATCCCTCCAGAGCCCCCTCACCTGGCACTACAGGCTGCGAGTCTATGGTGAGAATCAGCTTCACATGGATGATTGTCTTGGGAGAGTGGTGTTAGAGATGTTTAAGGAAAGGCTGGGGAAACCCTCGACAAGAATGTGGAAGAGGGGACTCCTGCAGGGATGAAGAGCAGATGTCACTGACCCCGAGGTGGTCCCTTCGCCTCAGAGATTCTGGAAGAGGCAGCATGATGCAAAGGGAGGGCAGTGGGAGTTGGGGTCACACAGGCCTAATGCTGGTCTCTCTACTTACTCATTTCAGCCTTCAGCAAGTTTCTTGGTCTCTTTGAAATTTAGTTTCCTTATCTATAATAGGGGGAAAGTGATTCTGTCTTAGAAAGATTCTTGGGTGTAGACATCAATCACATATCTTCCCCTGAAGAGTGTAACCAACTGAGGCATAGACTTAAGAATCAGAAGGAAAATAAAAATATCAGCTGTATTTTTTTTCTAGCAAACTTAGGTTTGAGAAATACATTCCCCCAAGTCTACACCTTGGGTCTCATTACAAAATAATTATTCAATCACCTGAAAGAAAAACTGCCTCACTCACAAGACTGCAATATCAGGAGAGCAGGAAGGGGCCTCCAGGTTTACTGTAGAGGCAAGTCCTGCCCCTTGATCCAGCTGTGTCCTCCACAGCTGACAGGAACAGGAGACACATTCTGCGGGTGACCTAACTAGGGGAGAAGGAGGGGGTTACCACATTTAATCAGCAATCTTAACAGTCTAAACCCACAGTAGAGAAATGTAGGTGAAGGCTGTCAGTTGTTGCATTGCTGAGGAATGAGGCTCTTACCAACAATTGCCCATTCTGTGAAGCACAAGGCAGAGGAAGGGACCAGAGTTTCCTCAGATACTATCATCTCCTGAGAGTAAAGTGAAAGTCTCTTCAAGGAAACCCGAGGACAGGCAAACAGGAAGTCTTTAAAAAAGATGAAATCAGCCAGCATCTAACGTTCATGTAGCACAACGCTTGCCTTATGACCATGCTTGGGAACAGCTCCTGTGACTTGTTATTATTTCTGTCACTATTGTTTTTCTTGTTATAAAGCTATGAACACGCTGACCTAGAGAGCTCTGTTCCAGAAAAGAATGGAATTCTGTTCTGGATTGCTGCTTTCTCTTTATTGCACCCCAGGGAGACTGGGGTCTGAGGGTTATAGCAATAATTCAGAGAAGGGAGGCTGAGGACATAGTTTCCACCCTCAGTGTCCACTTCTTTCCTTGCAGAGCACCTGTCACAGCTGAAGGTCACCCCAGGACAGTAGAGCAGTGAGAATTGCTCCTGTGTCACCAACCTGACATGCTCCGTAGACCAGGAAGATGAGGATGTGACTTACAGATGGATGTCCCTGGAACAGGCAAACAAGGAGGTCCATAATGGCCCTGTCCTCTCCATATCCTGGAGGCAAGAAGAAGGGAACATGACCTATAAGTGTGTGGCCAGGAACCCCGTGAGCAATAGCTCTTCAAATCCCATCGCTGCCTGGAAGCTCTGTGAAGGTAACGGTCCCCTCCTCCAGGAAACTCTGTGTTCACTCATCAGCCCCTGCTACTGGCAGACAGACCTGTGGAAAATCTGGGGCGGGGTGGGGGTGGCTCCCAGGAAGTCACCAGCCTGGGAGGAGGTGGCAGTGGCTCTAAAAGTTGAGCCATTTTTCCTAGTTGACTCCTTTTCCTCCCCTATCCCTCACACCCATTCTCTCTTTAAAGGTGCTGTTGGTAAAACACTGTACATCATGGTCCTCCCTGTGGTGGACGTATTTGTTGCCTTGCTGCTACCAATGCTCGTTATTTCTTTATACATCAAAAAAGAAAAAAAGGTAAAGCATGTTCTATTTTTGTCTTTAACCTCTCCTCATTTATTCAACAAACAGGTTGGATGGTATGCCAGGCACAGCACCAGGCACTAAGGATACAAAAATAAGAAGCTGTATCTCTGTCTTCAAGGAAGACTGGCTGCCTGCATGCCTTGGTTTTCTTTCACTAAGGTCCCAAACTTCTCTCCCAAAGCTAAGCTGCCCCCGCCCCTCTTCTTCCCCCAGAAGACTTACTGGTGTGCCCCTCCTGTTGACACAGTCCCCACAATGCTGGCTATTCTCCCCTGATTTGGGAGACAGTGGCCTCCAGCTCTAACCAGTTCCCTTTGTCAGTCCATTTATCCCCTTCCCGTCAGAGCCCCAGCCCCACCACAGCCCCATCTATTGGATCCACTTCAGAAACCTCAGTCTGGATACAGTCCCCCTAGAAGCCTCTCTCTGAGTCTCTCCCTGCTGTGCCTCTTGTTCTGTGTCCCTAAACCCTGCAGATTTCTCCTCTGACACTAAGGATGTGCAGTCCCACACACCCCACTGACACTGTCCATGTGCGGGTAGATGATGGGCCTGCACACCTTTTGGGTTGAACTTTACATTTTTGAGATCTGCCCTACCTCCTTGGAAACACTCTGGCCCATTTCAGATCTCTTCTTCCCTTTTGGTGGTTTGGTTGAGAGAAGGAAAAGAGAAGTCATGAGGGAGATTAGTTTGTTCTGGAATTTTCCTGGCTTAGCACTGAAAGTCCCATTTCCCAGAAAACCCTTCAGTTACAAGCAAACAAGGATGGTCAGTCTCCCTAAGTGGAACATCCAGAGGGAGTGCCAGGCCGGTGGGGAAGGTGAATGAACAGAGGGGCCAGCTCTGATTCTCTCTCAACCTAATTTCAGAGTCTACTGGAGAGGAGAAAGGGACTGGTGTTCATCACGAAGTTCCTAGCCATGGCCACACTCCTGGAGAGGTCCCAGAATATGACACGGTCACTTTCCCCCCTGTGAGTCTTTTCCCATCTTTCCTGGGCCCGATCCTCCTGGTTGAGACCCTCCTTGCTCTATTTGAGATTTTTTCATGGATTTAGGCAACATGGAAGAGGAGGATGTATAACCCTTAAAACCCAGCGCACATAGGCCTCCCCCACACCCCAAGTCTCTATGGCTGCCCATTTGTGCAGGAGTCAGTGGCCTCTGGAGCACCTCACTCTGACCCAGCCAGTAATTACACACTGATCTGTGACCCAACCCTGCAGGAGCCCACCATTCACAGCAGCCACTCTCCAGGCCCAATGCCTTTTGGTCAGGGAAGTGTGACTTTGACATGGAGTTTGAGTTGAGGTGTCAGAGGCTCTCTCTAGAAATGCTTTTTCCTCTAAGACAACACAAGGAGCCATCAGGAGAAGGAGAACTCAGGCCCACAGTGACTCCAGGCCACACTCAAGACAACCCTACGTGCTGGCCACTAAGTTGAAGTGAATGAACACAAGGATAATTCCAGGGAAATCCTTTGATGAGAATATCATTAGAGTAAAATTTTAAAAATAAAATAAAATAAAAACAAGTCACAAGAGGCAATTTGGAAAGATGAACCAGGTAGATAATGTCAAAGGGCTCTGTGGGAACGATCATAGTGCCCAAGTTGGACCAGCTCCTGAGAGGTCATGGAGCCCTTTTCAACACTGGCTCATTCAAGGAAGAAATAAAAACACTTTGGAGCCTCAAAATTCTAGTTTTATCCCACCTTTGGTGTGTCTGGTCAGGTTGTAGTGTCCCATCTTACCACAGCCTTTCAGGAGGAGACACTGGCTTCATTCCTGAGGGGGTGTCCTAAATGCCCTCCCTTCCTCACAGGGGCACCTGCTCTGTGCTCCATGCATCTGGGCTGACCTCTCACCATCATGCTCCTGCTTAAGACCCACTGGGGAAACCCTAGGGCCATCCTGTTCAGGAATGATCTTTTCTAACCTGGAAGGCGCTATTGCTGTTGCTTTGGCTTGTTTTACTCCATTATTCATCCTGACTGATTTGATGCAATGGCTCTTTTGACTGATGGAAAAGTTTGTTTACAACATTAGCATTACTTCAAATTATCCTTTAATGACCTTAAGAAGCTCATAGCTCATGGGACTTATATATCTTATTTATTTTTTAATTCATTTAAACAAAAAGTTCTATACAATGCAATTTCTTCTTGAAAGAAAAGCTTTTAATTATTATATCAGCCACTGACAAGAGCACCTCCACTGTCTGTTACTCTTCTGTAACTTCCCCACCCCTTGGGATCCCCTCCCCCGCTCTGCTTTCACTTCTCTAGGTTCAGGGCATCTGTTTGACTGTCTGTGTGACCCAGGGGAGGCTGATGATTTCTTTTCATTGTTTTTTAATAGAATACTGTTCCAGAGGAAAATACACCAAATACACTTTATTCCACTGTGCAAATACCCAAAAAGGTAAGAGGCTTTAGACCTGAGCTTCATCTTAGTTGTCATGTTCCTTTTCTGGCCACTAAGCTTAAATTTTCTTGGGTTTCTGGGGATCACATATTCCCTGCTATTAGAAGGTGCCCCAGCATGCTCTCATTTTGCCTGGGGTTATACAGGAATACATGGACTAGAAGAGAGTCATGTTTTAAAAGTGGGGTGGAGATTCCATCTAGAGCAGGAGAGGGGTTGTAGGCAGGAAGGAAGAGAAAAGCAGCAATACCCTGCCTGGGGTCATAGGCAACAAGCCCAGCTGCGGTGGAGCTTGGGAGGGGTGAATGGGGAGGTGAATTTAGTTTGGATCTGAGCCGGAGGTGGGAGAGAGATTCCATGGTCCGGCATGTTACATGGTTCACAGGACCCCGGGTGAGACAAATGTAGTAAGTTTTAAAATTTGTTCTCCAAAGGTCACGCTTGGTAAAAGCAGGGATCCCATCCTATCTCCCCTCCCAACCAGATCTGAAAAGATGACGATTGGTAAAATATTTGTGCAGTAATAGGAAAGGCTGCTTCTGGTGGGTTATTGGAAGGAAAGTTCAGTTCATTTTGCATCCAGTAAGATAGATGTGGGTTCACCTTGAAGAATGGTTTCTCTAAAGTGGGAATGACTAGTGAGAGCAGTATGGGGGTTCAGGTGGGGTCATCTTGGTGATGAGCAACTGGGCTGACAGCTCTCCCACAGCAGCTTGACCTTCTCCAGTGCTCCACATCTTTTTATCTGTCCAACAGGTGGACAAACCCAACACCCTGGCCGAGACAGCCCACATACCACGGTCATTTGCCTTTGAGAAAGTCATTTAAACATCCACGTGCTCCCTCACACCTCACCCCACAGAAAATGATGCAAATAATTCACTCGACTAGAAATATCAAGGAAAAGTCAGGAACACTGCTCTCCTTCCATTATTAACCATGGTCCCTGATGAAACCTCAGATTTAAGAGCTTCTAATTCTACGCACAACTGAGAAATCTCAACCATGTGACTGAATGTGTCGTCATCCCTTCCTGGCAATGTGACTGTGGATGTATCTGTTAACCCTGCTTGGGGAGCTTGGGCGCATCCTGTTGCTATGTGAATGTGGCATCACCTATGTGAAGGATGAAGGATGGCTCCTGCCCCAACACTGGAGGTGTGCAATGTACCCGTGGTCAGATTGCAACAGGACAAGAACAAGGACCATGCCCCAGCTTCCTTCTTGTGCTGAGAGGGGTCCAGACCCACGCTGGACACTCAGGGAAGAAACTGAATCTGCAGACAAATTTTAAGTCTGTCATAGGAGACTTGTAGCTTGTCACTTGCAAACCTTTAAAGTCCTTTTATTTATTTAACAAATATTTTATGAGAAGCTCTGCCAAAGCTTGGCAAATAAGGCATGATCCCCACCCCCTGTGAGGAAGCATGGATAAGGGGTATGCAGGGGAGTGGGCTGCCTTTGATGTGTTTCAAAAAAGCTGCCTCCACTCAGGGAGGTCCGTGAAGAAGGAAGCTGCTGCCTTGCGGAGGAAGAGAGGTGGTGAAAAGAAGCACCTGCATAGCCACAGGTGGGCAGAAAGACTGCTGCCTTATTGTGGGAGCAGTGTTAGGTTTTGTCATCTCCTTCTGGTAGGGGAGGAGCTCGTTTTTGTGGGTGGATGGTCTGTGCTCCTTACACTCCCTATAGCAGTCTGATAGTTTCTGAGTCTTGCACATGCTGATCTGGGCATTGATGTCTAAGGGTCTTGGTTTCTATAACCAGATTAATGGCTTACGCTAAGCCCCTCTACTCCTACCTCCGTGTGAGTTAGATTCTTGATCTTGTATTTCCTTTCCAGTTTTTCTATTCTTATCCTCCATCAAAAGGATAGAGTAGGAAGCAGCCCCTGGAGTCGGAGCTGCTCCATAAAAACCTATGTGGGGCCTACCCAGTGGCCCAGTGGGTTGAGCGCAGCACTGTGAAACTGTCCGCAGGAGGCACCAGTCACACTGTAGATATTATAAATATCATATTTATTACTATCATTTCCTAAAAGAAAAAATAATAAAAACTCATTTTATAATATCAGTATGTCTTGAGAAAGATGTGTTCTTTTCTTTTTCTTTTTTTTTAAAGAATTATTTATTTATTTATACAAGCCGTGGGTAAGTCAGAAGCGGGGGAGGGTGAGAATTCACCAGAGTCGGAGCGGAGAGCAGAGCAGCCTGACTGACAAAGTACACTGCTGAGGGGAGCAATGCACAGGGATCGAACTGGCGCTGCAGAGGCTGCGGGCAGTTTTGCAACCCAGCCCTCAACCACTGCGCCACCAGAGAGGTCCAAGAGGTGTTCTTTTCTAACTCTCAGGGTGATATGGGTTGGGACAGAACTTGGAAGCGAGAATGATTTACCACACTATGAAGCAATCCACAACCTCTGCAGCACAAGTTCAATCCCCGGCCAGCCAGAGAGCAACCCACATGGCAAAGCAGACCTCTCCTGTCTCCCTGCTGCTCTCCTAAGCAGTGTATTTCAGTGGATCTGCCTGTTCTGCTCTCCACTATGTCCCTGGTGAATCCTCTCATCCCCACATCTCTGGCCTGTACCCAGCTCTTGTATGCATAAATAAATAAATCTTTTAAAAAAATTGGTTTCTAGACAAGACTGGGATTGAAAATAATCTCTTCTCAAAAAGTCACTGTGAGATTATATATAAAGCATGACTTCTTTTTCTATTTGTGAGAGTGAGATTCTGGAACACCTGAAGACAGGGAAGTTAAGGAAAACACACATTAGGAAATATGAATCATAAAGCTGGAGGATGTTATAGTGTTGAAGGGGGAGCAAAAGATGCCACCCTAAAGTATGACTCTGACTTGAAGATTATTTAGAGCTGATTATTTTTCACTCAGAAACAGCAGATACAGGAGACACTCTGAAAACTGAGTCAAACATCGTTTTGTAAGAGACATTTACATTTTATTAGGCAATTCTTCTTTTCTGGGGTGTCTCCTCTCTGTACCATATCTCTGGAGGCTCTTGTCAATGGAGAAGGCACTAAACTCTGCCTTATCCTTGTACCAGCGTGATATCCATAGAAAGGGGAGGTTCCAAGTTCCCTGCCCCACCCAAGGAAGGGTGGAGCTGAGCAGCAAGGAGAAACTAGAAAAATGTGGGCAGGAAGAAGAAAAAGAAGGAAGATTTAGAGAAGACAGGAGAAAGTATACAGAGCAGAGACAGGTGAAGAAGTCATGCTTGCTTCTCAGTACCAGGGACTCGGGGGACATGGAAGGAGACAGCTGAAAGAACAGAGATGTGGATGAGGGACCATGAGACGGCTGACAATGGCAGCCTTTATCTTGATTTTCGGCTGACAATGAAAGCCTTTATCTTGATTTTGGTTTTGTTCTTTTCCTTCCAGGCTTGCCTGGCCCTTTCTCTACCTTTCCTGTGGGTCCTGATCAGACTGTGGCACGCTTTCAGGCCTCAGTGGCCCATCTTTGGACCAACCCTGTTTGACTGGACATTTACCCACGAGGTGATGGGAAACTTTGGGTGTTTAATTGGAAGCTAATTTTCACTAGATTCTTTCTCTTCTCCCTTTTGCACCCTTAATTCTCTATTACACACTAATTGTATCAAAGTTCTTTTCTACTGAAGTTCTTATACACTAGAGTATGTTTTGTCTTTAAGCGGAGGATGGCAGAATCCATTTAGAGCAGAAAAGTTTGGTGTTCCTGGGGTGCCCCCTCAGCCTGCCTGCTAATATTATCAAGCCCTTTGCTATACTTTTCCCAGTAACTTCCCATAGCTTCCCCCACCCCAACATCATTCTATTGTCTTTAGCTGAAGATAGCATTTAAGGTGGTGGTGTTATAGGGCAGCCCTGATATTGAACTGGTTGCCTGGCTGTGGGTCCTCACCCGCGCGCTTAAAAGGGACTTATTAATACTCCACTACAGGCACACACAAAAGTTAATAAAAGGTTTATTTACAAGGGAAAAAGGAAATAAGGAAAATGTACAACTCAGGGAGAAAATAGGGAAATAAAGTCTTTAATGCGTCCTACCCGATCCGACGACCTGGAAGCCCAAAGTCACTCTCAGAGCTGGCCGGATGCTGCGAGCTGGCGGAGAACCAAAATGGGGATCCCCCAAAGCCCACGTGTCTGCCTTTTATATCAACCTGGCTGCTTAACCCCACCCTCAGGTCCCAGCCACCTTCCCTTTGGTGGTGATGGGATTTGGAGTTCCCAGTGTCTTTGGCTTTGGCCTGGGGTGGGGGTGGAGTCCACAAAACCTGTATGGAATTAGCTTTAGGACATCCTTTCCCCCCCTACCAATTCCCCCCTTTCACTTTTTGCCACCATTTGCATGGTGATGAAGATTGAATACATGAATGTTGGGATGCAGTCTCAGATGAACATTTTTACCAGGTTCCAGTGTAAAAGAAAACCAGTCCCTCCAGGTATTTGTCCATTGTGGAAAGCAAAAGTCCTCTATTCCACGAAAAATAGTTCATCAGGTTAAGCCAAAAAAAAACATCTTTAGGCATTAGCCAAAACAAGACAGCAGATATGTCAAAATCACAGGAAAAAAATCTTAAAATGGTTCAACTGATATAAAACACAGATTTTCTCAACCTTGATCCCAAACTTTTAACAGCATAGCAAAAGTTTGCAAACTAAATCTACTTTTTTTTTTTAACCATTCTTCCTATTTTTGCATAAAATCACAAGGCAGAAAATAACTAACAGCAATTTTTTTGCCGGCTTTGTTGAAATACTCCATATAGGATCAGAGCGAACCGGTGGCATCTGGTCGATGTAGGCTTCAGGTACAAAGTTGGTCTCATCAGACTCTACCTGGGCTTTCCTCTTCTCGAGGGTACCAGGGCATTTTCGTTGGCCGGGTTGTCCAGTCCTGCCAATGGAGGCAAGCTTCCTCACCTTCTTTGGAGGTCTCTGGAACCCTACAGACAAGCAAACAGGTTCTCCTCTTCTTGGTTCAGCTCTGTTTCAACTTTTTGGAAGAACTCCACACAAAGCCACACAATCAAACTCACATCCAATTTTTGTTTAAACAGACAAAATCCCTATGGAAGTTATGCAAAAACAGACTCTGAGATAAGTAGCAAAAATTACTACCACTATTTGTATGCTGTGTTGGTGTCAAGGGGAGAGAAAATGTGACAAGTTAGCTTTGCTGGAAAAAAAAATTGCAACATATTGACCGGGTTCCTGGCTGTGGGTCCTCACCCGCGATCTTAAAAGGGACTTATGAATACTCCACTACAGGCACACACAAAAGGTTAATAAAAGGTTTATTTACAAGGGAAAAGGAAATAAGGAAAATGTACAACTCAGGGAGAAAATAGGGAAATAAAGTCTTTAATGCGTCCTACCCGATCCGACGAACTGGAAACCCAAAGTCACTCTCAGAGCTGGCCGGATGCTGCGAGCTGGTGGAGAGCCAAAATGGGGATCCCCCAAAGCCCACGTGTCTGCCTTTTATATCCACCTGGCTGCTTAACCCCACCCTCAGGTCCCAGCTACCTTCCCTTTGGTGGTGATGGGATTTGGAGTTCCCAGTGTCTTTGGCTTTGGCCTGGGGTGGGGGTGGAGTCCACAAAACCTGTATGGAATTAGCTTTAGGACATACTTTTCCCCCTAACAGTGGCTGGGTCATTTGGGGGACTTTTAGTCAGTTTTCCTGGGGCTCTGCCATATGTACAGGAGGCATGTGTATTAATAAACTTTTGTTTGATTTTCTCTCATTAATCTGTTATTTACAGGGGGACTCTTAACCAAGAATGTAGGAGACTAGAGAGAACACTTCCCCTCAAGA